CTATTCATGATTTGTATGTACATACTACACAATCGACATGAATGCTCCGTACGGAGAACACTGTCGGAGTACAGACTTCAGAACAGAGAAATCAGACAGAGCCGGTGGAGCTTCGAGAACATCCCCGGCAACGTTAAACCACGAGCTCAAGCGCAGACTGGTTGGACCGCCAGACTCGATCTATTTTAGCCCGGCGCGCTAACAGCGACGCTAAGGTGCAGTCCTCTAATTAATTTACTGCTCCGTCGTTAGGACTGTAGTAGGAAAGGTACCTGGTTGCCACCGGGTGACGGTACGGGTATTACTTGGTATTGTACGGTAGGTGTACTTCCGTCCGAACTAGGGTATACTATAAGAGTATACTGCGAGAGTATACAACGATATTGATTCTGTCTTCAATTATGGGAATGAGCCGATGTCACATATTAGGATTAGAATTCTGTTGGATAAGTTCACAGACTTGAAGATAATAATCAATCCATCCGACTGGAACCCAAAGAACCCAAAGCACCCAAGACCAAAGAACCCAAAAAGAAGACGACGACCGTTACTGGTTCCGGGCGGAGAGCGGTACGGTATGTAAGGCTGGCCTCCGTCATCCATTTTATTTCTCTTCCTTTCATTGTCCGCTTCCCCCCTCCCTCTTCCTGTCTTTCCTCTCTTCTTTCCCTTCTTTTTCTTCTTCTTCTCCCTCTCTTCGCCTCTCAATTCCTCGATTCCCTGCTCGGTCGGGTCTTCTCTACTACTTCATCTCCCCGTCTGTGCTCTCTCTCTCTCTTGACAGTCTGTCGTCCAGGTACGTGCATTCTCATTTCACTTAGTGCGTGCTTGGGGAAATCTAGTGAACTGGCCAATGATGTATTATACATACCAACCACATCTACCTCGGTGCCTGTATCTAGATGCGATCATCCTCGCCCTTCTCGATTCCCCCAAGTCGATGAAGATGGAGATGGATCGAATCACCCACGCGCATTAGTTGATGCACCCAGCAAGCTAACAGACCGAACAACAGATCAGTTGAAGCACCCTCGTTCTCAGGTTCCCGTCCGAACAAGTCGTTTACGGCGGGTAAGCTGGAATTCCTGACTGGCCAATCCTCCCACACAAGAGCAGGGAATTCCCCCTCTCGTTGTCTGGACGCTTCTCTTTTCTTATCTCTCTCTCCTGCGCTTCTCGTTTTTCTTCAATTTGATTTGATTTAATTCTTAATTTTTTTTTTTTTGTCTACACTCCCACCCTCTTTCCCCCCCCCCCCCCCCCCCTCATTTGGAATTTTTCGGTCTTATCGCCTTGCAAACCGGCTTTTCTTTTTTTTTTCTACTTCTTTTTCCCGCCCTTCTTCTTTCCTGGCCCGCTTTCCAATAAGAAGGGAGAGAAGGTCCGCGAGATCATGTCCGGGTTGACCCTCGGGCGAGGTCCTGGGGGCGTGCGACCGACTCAACCCGCCGCTGGCTTCGATTCCTCCGCCGACGCTGACCGGTCTTCCGCCTCCCTTCACCATCGTCAACATCAGCATTTTCCTCCTCCCACTTCCTCCTCTCAACTCTCCGACGACTTCTCCTTCGGTTCTCCTCTCAGTCCGCCCGATTCGTCTCATGTGCAGGACGGTGGCGTACTTCAGGATTCGCTATTCCCCGAGTGGAGCACCGGCGCGCCGCCTCGCGTTGGAATCGACGGCCCCGATGAGATGCAAAGGCAGGATCCGTTAGCCACCCAGATATGGAAGCTGTATTCTAGGACGAAAGCCCAGTTGCCCAATCAGGAGCGCATGGAGAACCTGACTTGGCGAATGATGGCGATGAGCTTGAAGCGCAAGGAGCAGGAACGGTTATATCAGTCGAGGTTTGTCCCTAGCGTTGGTTGTCTTACAGTGTCCCTGTAAGAACTTGAATATTGGTTGGAACATCTGGCTTATTATGGGATTGCAATCGACACGTCCAAAAGGTTCCCTGCCCGAAACAGCATCTCCGGCCCCAGTGGCATTGCCCAGTTGCGCATCTCCGACCGACCTCCTACCAACCTGCCGTCATCCGCTGCGACCGATTTCGCGACCGATTTCGCGCCTGATCCGGCGACCGATCCGATGAACCTGGATGATTTCATCGTTCCTTTTGAATCCCCCTCCGATCATCCGTCCCCGAATGCCACCACTAAGGGGTCCCAGTCGACCAGCTCCGTGGCGATCCCCATCAAATCTCGCAAGGACCAAGTGGCCGAATCCACGCCCGTGCCCGCCTCGTTCCACCACCCGGCTCAGGACCAGCGCAAGAACAGTGAATTCGGTTACGTGCCGCGTCGCGTGCGCAAGACGAGTATCGACGAGCGTCAGTTCTTCGGCTTGCAGTTGCCTAACCGCAAACGACCAGCCGAATCCTCGCCCCAGGTTCCCCCCGTGTCCAACACCATGCTGGCCCACGATCCCGATCTCTCTGGCGGCGTTCCCGATTACGCGTTGGATGCGACGACGTCGACGGCATTTGGTCTGCATCACGGTAGCCAGCATGCGTCGACTCATGCTAGCCACACCTCGCCGGGCGTGCCGTTTGGGCTGGATACCTTTACTCTCGGCGAAGACCCCATCCTTCCTTCCGCCGGCCCCTACCAAACTCACTTCACTTTCTCCCCGAGTGACTCGCCGATGACCTCGGGTAATCCGTTCACGAACTTGTATGCGCAGACGCCCGTGGCGTCGTCGCTCAACTCGACCGATTTCTTTTCGCCGCCTCCTTCGGGATACCAGTCGACCGTGTCGACTCCGCAGCCGGCCTACGATGGCGAGCATTCCATGTATTTCGATATGCCGTCGGTGGAGACACGCACCCAGCGCCGAGTGCCCAACTACGTTTCCCACCGTTCGAACCTTTCGGCGTCGTTGCAGCCCCGATACATGTTCAACCAGCATGACCAGCAAGCGCAGCAGCAGCAGCAGCACCAGCAAGCGCAGCAGCAAGCGCAGCAGCAGATCAATTCGAACACGATGCATTCTCCGGGGTATCCAGTTCCGCACGTTGACCCGTCTCAGGTTCTGGGTCCGGGTGATTTTACGGCTTCCCATACGAACATGTTCTCGTTCGGTGGCGATTCCGATAATGAAGACGACGAGGGGCGTCCATTCTCGGAGCGTGCTGGGCTCGCGATGCCGGCGGAATTCAACGATGAGAATGGAGATATGAACTCGGGTATGCAGTGGGACACGTCGTTCCCGGGGTCGTTTCATTCGCTGCCGGGATTCGCTCAGCATCGCAAGCATGTCACCATTGGGTCCGCGGACATGATGGACACGCCTAGTGAGTGGAACAGCCCGACCGGCAGTCTTGGACGGACGCACGGGTCGGCGGCCTCGGTCAGCGAGGTGCGCAATCGGGAGCAGGATCCCCGCCGCCAAAAGATTGCTCGAACCACCTCGGCGACCAACACGGCGCAACTGCTGCGGCAGGGCATGAACCCGGCCAGCACCTCGCACACTTCGCCCAACACCCCGCCTGAGTCGGGCTTGAGCAGTGCGGCTCCTTCGCGGCCCGCGAGCCCCGGAGGCTCGAAGAATGGCGAGGGCAGCACGGGGCCGACGACTTGTACCAACTGTTTCACCCAGACCACACCGCTGTGGCGCCGGAACCCCGAGGGACAGCCGCTGTGCAACGCCTGCGGTCTGTTCTTGAAGCTGCACGGCGTGGTGCGACCGCTGTCACTGAAGACGGACGTCATCAAGAAGCGGAACCGCAGCAGCGCCAACAGCCTGGCCGTGGGCACGTCGCGATCGTCCAAGAAGTCCTCGCGCAAGAACTCGGTGCAGCAGGCCTCCGCCACGACGCCGACGGCCAGTCGCGCTCAGAGCGGGACGGCGTCCGAGTCTCCGCCCGCCATGCCGAGCGCCCCGGCACGAGCGTCTGGCGTGGTTCCTATTGCTGCCGCGCCGCCCAAGTCCGCTCCCTCCGTCACCTCCGTCGCCGCCTCCGCTGCATCCCCAGGAACCGGACAGACGCGCAGCGCAGTGCAAGTGGCTCCCAAACGCCATCGACGGTTGGAAAAGGCCAGCGACGAGACCGAAGACAGCAGCAAGTCGTCTGGTCGATCCAAGGTGGTTCCTTTGGCTCCTGCGATGCCTCCCGCCGCGGCCAACCCGGCCAACCACAGTATTGCTGGTGGACAAGGCGCCAGTCAAGAATGGGAATGGTTGACCATGAGCTTATGATTTTGTTTTTCTTACACTCTTTTCATTCTCTTATTCGATATTATCAGCAATGCCCGCACGACCGATTTTCATAGATATGAAAAGAACCGAACCATGCTCGCTAGACGAGCGACGGATCTGGTTTCATCAGGGGAGGAGGACAGAATTAATGGTGATGAAGGAAGGAAAGCTTGTTTTTTCTTTTTTTCGGATATTATTTAATGGTTGACTCTAGCGCCTGATCTGTTTTGTTTTCTGCTGATTTTGTCTCATGTTTGATGTTTCATGCTTCGTTGGTCTGATTTTTATGTTTGATACAATCGCGTCTGTCCGGTGTTTGTTTTATGGCTTTGCCGGACAGAAGTGCGCACTGTGATTTGATTGATTCATTTGATTTTATTTGATTATTGATTTGTTGATTCTCGTCTTACTGAATGGATTATAGACTGTTATGTTCGTGATGTTATTGATGGGTTAGGTAGTTATGATATTCTTTGATTTGAAATGGTGCTGTCGATGTAGATTCACTATCTGGATGGATTTACTCTCGTAACCAAGGTAGTAGAGATGAATTATGTATGACTATGAACAAGTAATGACTACTTCAGTCCTCCATACTCCGTAGACAGATGGAGACGGCGATAGACACCTCAGGCAGAGCCCCGATAAGATTCCAGGTCACGTGCCGATAAGACGCTCTTATCGTCTCCAAAATTTCGTCTGCTTTTTTCTCCGCAGATCCTCGTGGACTCCGACTTGGACTGTCGCACTCGCGCAGAACACCGATCGCAAGAGAAAGCACAAGGAAAGAAGACATACCGATACCATGGGTGCCAGCGCAAAGAGGAAGAAGGAGAAGCAGAAGGACTTTCAGGTATGTTGTCACCGTCCATCCTTTCACTTCCATCCGTTCCAGGTGGAGGGATGGGGATGATATGATATGATCCGTATAAGAGAGATAGACATTGATCGATTGTTTGATGCAGAAAACGAAATTGAAAGTCGGAAAGACAAAAGCCAAGCCGGAGAATTTTACAGATACGAGTTTCAAGTCGAAATGTACATCCCCTTTCCCCCACCATCCATCTGCCCATATAATCCCACCTCCCCAGATCATACACCTCCCTCTTGACAATATCACCCATACTAACACATATCGATCTCTACAGCAATAACCCTAACCCAACAATCCCTCACACTCACCGCCCCTACTCAATCAACACAATTCACACACTCCCTCTCCCTCCTAAGCAGCAAATCCGACTCCCAACGCCGCGACTCCCTCTCCCACCTCGCGACCGCCATCTCCTCGCGCCCCGTCTCGTCCCCCCTCCCAGTCCCCGTCCCCTCTCTCCTCCCCTCCCTCCTCCCCCTCATCCTAGACGCCAACGTCTCCGTGCGTACCGCCCTGCTCAAACTCCTCCGCACCCTCCCCGGCGCGGACATCCGCGACCACGTCCCGTCCCTGCTCCCCTACATCCGCGCCGGCATGACCCATCTCGCCGCCGACGTGCGTCTCTCGACCCTCGACGTCCTGGAATGGCTGGTCGACGTTGCCGGGGAGGAAGTCGTCAGCGCCCCCGGCGGCTGGGTGAAGCTGCTGAAGTGTTTCCTGGCGCTGTTGGGCTGGCCGACGCCTGATCCCGAGGGCCGGGAGAAGAGCAAGTGGACGAGTTTGAACTCCCGCGCGAGTCTGGGCGCTGAGGCGAAGGGCTTGCCTGGGTATCCTGGTTCCGGCTCTGGCTCCTCTAGCACCAGCACCAGCACGGGTGCCAAAAAGCCAAGCTCCGGATCCAGCTCAACGGGACGTGTCGACCTCGGCAAAGCCTCGAAGCAAGGCAAAGGACTGATCCGCGGGTTAACAGTACTCGGCGTATTCTTAGAAGCAGGACTCGCGCCGCATTTGCGATGCGTTCCTGGGACGGAGGGCCAGAGCCATACAGACGAGAGTAACGGGGACGCTGCAGACTTCCCGATCCTCTCGACAGTACACCTCGTGTCTGGATCGGCGCAGCCGTATGCGTATTTGAATCTGTTCGGGGCGCCTCGGGACACGGATGGCGAGATGTATGAGACGCAGGAGGATCGGTGTCGGGTGTTTGTGGAGGGCGGGTTCTTGGGTTCTGTGACGGGGGGAGTGGAAGGGGCGAGACAGGAGGGAGGAGAGGTGGGGAGGGTGTCGAGTTTGATTCGGAGGGTGTTGGCTTCTCTTTAGTATATTATACTTATACTTATACAATATGATTTGGTTTGGTCTGGCTTGGTTTGTTGGGATGACTTACCTACTCTATCTACACATTTTTCTGTTTGCTTAAGGGGTTGCTTACCTGCACAAAACTTGCCTGTAGTGAGTGAGTGGGAGGAGGGAGAGAGCTACATACATACATAGATATGTAGTACGTAGCATTTTTGATGTATGCATGCATGGCCGCAGTTTAAAACCCAGGGCAGATATCCTTTTTAAGGTATGTAGTTACTAAGATCTTACTATTATGAACAAGCATTCATTTCATTCACTGCTCATTTCTAAAGAAAGATATTGTAGTAACCAGATATATTAGATCGCCTGGTTCAAACATCAAAGACAGACAGGCATAGAACATTTTGTCCTGATCTTGGTCACCTACCTACCTACCTACCTACCTACCTACCTATCTACTACCTAGACGGGTATGTGGAGGGTGATAGGGTAGGGTATAGGGTAGGGCGGAAAAAGTTCACACCCCATTGCATTGTCGTCGATGAAGAAATATGTAATGTCGGGTTCGTTCAGGGAGGTCGTTGCTTCCTTTCTGCGAGCGCGGATCTTCGGGGGTGATGATTTCATTGCCATTGTTCGTATGTACGTATGTACTCGGTTTTTATATCACGGGTTATGGATTATGTAGAGGTCATGAGTGGATTCATGTTCTTCATGTTCATTTCATTGGTTCTGTGCTGAATTCGTAACAACATAATAGCAAGCAGAGACAGAAAGAGAAAAGAAAGAGGAAAGAAAGAGGAAAGAAGCAAGGACAGAAGAGAAACATATGCCATGCCACAGATCAAGACAATAAGATAACTCCAGGTTTCCGCAAGATGATCATTGGATCTGGCTTATCAGACGGCACACCTACTGAGAGACCCGACGTAGCATTGAGAAGCAATCAATCGCTGATACCTGAGCGATAAGTACGCTCACCCCCTGGTCTGCTCACACGGATCCCTCAACCACCCAACCTCTTCTGCAAAGCACCACAAAAACGAAGATAGCAAGCAATGCTATGATGCAAAGACACTCTAGTTAGCCTCCCCAGGCAATCTCACATCCTCCCATCCCCTCCCGTCACCAACGCCCTCCAAACTCCCCGTCCTCCGAATCCCCTTCCACTCGGTCGCATTAATCCACCCGATCTGCTGCAACCCGCCAAAGCCCCCAATCCAATAAATCTCCGTAACCACCATTCTCGCCCAGAAGCTCGAATGCGGCGACCCAGCCTTCCCAGGCAACCAGACCCGAGCATCAGGATGGGCTTTCGTATAACAACTCGTCAAAGCCTCGCTGGTGTCCTCAGGCACGGGAGTCGGGAATTCCTCGACGTACCCGAACAACGTAACGCGGGGCAACCCGGCCTCACTGAGCGGGAAACCAGGGAAGACGGGTTTCGTGTCATTAATGTGATCCCACCAGTCGATGGAGACGCTGAGGTTCGAGCCGGCGGCGATGTTGCGGAAGGTGGAGGAGACGCGTAGACCGAGAAGGGTGGGGTCGCCGTTGCCGCCGTGGGAGGTGTCCCGTGGGAGGTGCTCGTCGCAGTCGGAGATGTATTCGCGGAGGCTGACGGATTGGCCGGCGAGGGAGGCGGGCGTGTGGGATTTGTCGGGGGCAGGAGAGGGGAAGATTGTTGAGATGACGCCGGTGGTGGAGAGTGCGAGGAGTCGGCGCGCCATCAGCGTCGATGTGAACCATGAGGGGGCGGCCGTTGCGGCGACGGAGTCGGAGTCGGTGTAGGTGGTATCATGTTCGTGGTTGCCTGTATGTTCGACGGATTGAGAGGATGGTGCGGAAACTGAGTCGCTGCCTAGGAATGTCTGTCCCAGGGCGCGAGGTTCACTGCCCACTGGGGTGGCTAGCACCAGAGAAACGGGACTCAGTAGGAGACCGACGGTGGAGAGAAGGGAGACCGCGCGACTGCCCATTGTGTCGATAGAACCTCCGCAATAGACAGGAATGAATTCTATGATACAGAGATAGGAGTATGGTGTGAAGGAGCTGGATTGAATATCTAGAGATGAGGTCGGTGAAGGGGGAAGAAGAAGGTGGAGTGAGGGGGAGGAGCACTTGACCGCAGCCGGTGACCTTCTGATCCTCGGCTCGTCTGATCTTATCTGATGGCACCAGTCCCGGATTGGTTAGCTCGTCGGTTGCATGACTAACCCCAACCACCTGATCGCTCCGATCCCGGCCGTTCCCGATGCTGCCTCAGCAATCAGGCAGCCAAGTCGTGACTCATGGGGCGGCGCCACTTGCGCTCTCGGGATGCAAACCAGTGAATGGCCAGTCGTGGCGGTGAGTCAGAGACAAGCCAGCGGTCAAGCGTCGATCCAGTCGCGTGAGACGTAAAAAAATCATGCGAGAGAAGAATTTGACAGCCTCGTCATTGGTGGGCGTGACCTGGTGATTCCACAGGCAACCATCTACTCCGGTGTACTTACGGACTACAGGCCAGGAATACTCGAGATACTTCTTAGTATAGGCGGTATATTTATTGAGGTAATAGGTAATCGGTAATAAGTAAGCCAAACAATCCCTGCCATCCCACACTCCGAGAAAACCAATAACAATAAGTGTAGACAAAGAAATGGTAAGAGTAGATAAAAGATCGAAAACCCCTGCATAGACACAAGAACCACCCCAACGTACATCATACAAACCAGCGGCTTGAAAATCAAACAAACAAAGCCCGCTGCTCCGTGCAGGCGCCGACGCAGACTCCCATCTCGAATCCCGATAGAACACCTGGGTATATACAAATGACGAAGAAAAAAAACACCGTTTTTTCCCCAATGAACAATAAACAACCGGAGACAAAGTTCGCACAAAACTTTTTCCTCTGGTTAGTCTGCGTCTCGTATCTGCAAGTCGCGGTCCATGACCGGACGGATAATAGAAAAGATTATGCAATAATGAAGGCTTTGTTCGTTCTCTTCCTAATCAACACATGAAAACAAAAGAACGTAGATCACCCGTGTCCACTGCATAAAGAAAGAATAGAAGGATATCGGGAGCTAGCCCAGATACTCAGCGCGCATCGTAGGATTCAACGCGATCTTGTTCGCTTCGCTGCCGCAGCAGGCCCGTTTCATACCGACGGGGCCGGAGATCGGTGCATGCGAGTTGAGGGCCTTCAACTGCGTGGCCGTCAGAGACTGCGAACGCCGCGGACCCGTGTTCAGAAAGATATCAGCCATCTTCCCATCAGGGAGGATGGTTCCGGGGCGAACAGCTTTGGAATGGATCAGGTGGCGAACGTGATTTTGAAGCGGAAAATCCTCAGACCCGGCGCGGCCGCGCTTACGGCCCTGGTGAGGCTGGCGAGATCCGGCGGTGCCGCCGGAGAGCGCACAGAGACCCTGGGCCGCTTCGTGGGCAGAAGTGGTGTCAACCGGAGTGCCCAGCGTAAAGTTGGACAGATCGGGAACGGCGGCGTTTGGGACGCCGTAGTTGTCCAGGGGGGACGAGTGGTAGAGATCAGCCAGCGACGTCTCGTCGATGGGTGACGCGATAGCCAGAGGCTTTCGGTTTTCCTTCATGTTGTTGTTCGTAGACCGAAGCGCGGCCTGCACCGCAAGGCGAGGCAGGGTAACGCCCGACGCACTTGACATGGAGGACGAACGCGACGACTGCGAGGACAGGGTGGAAACGTCCGAGACCATCGAATCCGGAGAGGACGCAGACGAGGTCGAGCGAGCCAGAGAAGACCGACGGACCATGGTCGGGTAACCATCAAATGAACCGTTGCTAGTCTTGGGGCAGAACGGCAGCGAGGGGCGCTGGTCGAGAGTCGACCGCGCCATGCACATGTTCTGCACCTGAGACATAGCGGAACAGATGTACCGTCGTTGGGGAGGATGGGAGCCAACACTCGCCGCAGGAGTGGTGGCCATGCTCGACTGGGGGGTCATCTGCGGGGTCGGCAGCAAGGGCGGCCGCGGAATCGAGGGCAGGGACGGGTTGAAGGAGTCCACCGCCGTGGGAGTAGTCGTCCGAGACTCGGGAATCCGCTCGGACAGCGAGGGCAGGACGCATGGTTCGCCCGCGAGGTAGGACGGGTATCCTCCTCTGATCGACGAGCTACGGGGAGACGGCGAGTCCGCCATGGAGCGGACGTCGTAGCCCTCCACGCTCGCCGGCGGAGTCATCGGAGCCACGTCCACTTCTTCCAGGTCGGGCGTCAGTCTCGGGATCACCGAGCGCCAAGAGTAGCCTTCCAGAGCCATCGCGCCGGCTCCGGGGGTATACTTCAGGACGATGTCGGTCCATCGCTGGAAGGTGGCCTCGGTAATGTGGAGTTTCCAGTCAACGGCCTGCAAGAACATCAACTCGTTCTGGTTGATCTCGAGCGTGTTGAGACCGGAAATCTTGCTCCAGGCGCGGGCCGAATAGTTTCGGTCCTGCAGGTACTTGGAGGCCAGGATCAAAGCCGCAAGAAACATGCGTCGGCCACATTGCATGGCTCGGCTGACAGGTTTACCGCGAGTCTGATCCTGTGTCAGGTCATGACTAGGCACGTGCGGCTTGATCTTGATCAGATAATACAGAGCAACCTGCAACGTACTGTAGCTGGTCCGAGACCTACGGAGCGTCTCTTGGATGAAGGTGCGAAGAGGCAGAACGCCCTTGCACCCCGTCGTCGAGTCACTCCGAAGAGAGACGGCCGAAAGGGGCCAGATGATCTCAACGATTTGCGAAGCGGTGTCTTTTGTACCCAAAAAGAAAGAGAAAGAAAAGCTTAGCCAGGTGCCCGAACGCCAAAACAATGAGTGAAAAAAGACTTACCGACAAGGTTGTCGACAAAGTTCACCTTCCGCTCCGACTGTCGCATGAGACAAGGCGGAGGCCGGGCGGACGTGGTGGTGCCGTTGCTGGCCTGGACGCAGCTCGTGCGCCGAGGGTGCTTACGTAACTCCGGAGCCACCGGGACGTCCGCGGGCTTGGGGACCGGCGACTTCAAAAAGCAAGCACGCTCACGCGGGCCGTGCAACGAGGGCAGTCCTCGGCCTGCCGCCGGGTATTCTCCGTCATTCTCCCAAATCACATCCACCGAATTCGTCGAGGTCGAGGAGATAGATCCCTGAGAGGACAAGCCATCCAGGGAGAAGACCGACGAGGACGAGGAGGATGCGGAAGAGGAGACGGACGAAGAAGTATAGGGGTGCGCATAAGACGCCGTGTATGAAAGACCGGGGTTTGGATCTTTCAAACCCAAAACGTCAATTCCTGTCATATCCGATAGGGTGTACTGTAAATCCAGTCAAAGTGTGACCTATGAGATATCCTTTAAACAAAGTAACTCAAAAAATGGTCATCCGAGAAGAGGATAGCGAGTAGATCGAAGTCGAATATGGCGAAAGAGTTGCGCGGATGTAGAAACCGTGGTAATGTTTTTTCAAAGAACCGTTGTGCAAATAACCGTTAACGAGAAACCGATAAGACAAGAACCGTCTTTTGTTCACAGGCGACGGCAAGCCTTCGAGGAATAGTTCGCCAGTTTATCGTATGAGAGGAAGTGATAAGAATAAAATAATAAAGCGGCGGTGGCAGAAAAGGTAGAGGGAATATGAGTCAAGGTAGAGTAGCAAGAGGATTAGGTAGATATCGGGCAAAGTAGGTGATAAGGGGATTAGATCTAATGTTCCGATCACCCGGTGTAAAGAAGTCCAGGTGTAGATCCAGCCGAAACAAGCGGAATATCAGGAAGAGACACGTAGGAAGGGTATACACCGCAACGTGACTCTCTCAATGTCGTTCTCTTTTTTCAAGAAGAGTTTAGACAACGACCTTGCCGAAGATTCGGAGATCTGAGGGAGCGGATTCTTCAACACAGGCGATCGGAACAGAAGATTTCGAAGCAACAGAGTACATCTTGAGGTTGGGTATAAGTATGAAGGAGGGTTAAGAGGGAGCCGCTAGAACGGCAGACCGTCTAAACAAGCAGGCAGATTTGGCGCTTGTCCAGGCAGTCAGCAGTTGCTTGACAGCTCTTCGCGGGGGGCGAGCGGCGGATGACGAAGGATGAGTGAGTTATGAATCTAGAGGCGAGAAAGATGAGAGGAAATAGTCAGCAACGAGGTCATCGGATAGTGGGCCTATTTTTGGGGCGGCGGCGGAATATTTTATGACTCCCCAAGGTAGAGAGGAGCGCTGCCTGGAGGGAGACTGACTTAATATTATTTGGGGGAGGGAAGGGAAGAGGGCGGAGCGGTAGACTAAATCTAATATGACTAACTGGGGGGGCGAACCAGTCAGAGTGGGGATGGGCAGAGAGGAAGACAAGATGGGCAGGAAATATTATTCAGGATGGGAAGAAGGGGAGATGGCGAGATTCGGGCAAGAACAGATGTTACTCACAACGGTGGCAAGAGTGGCGGACGCCGGGACCAGTTTTTTTCAAGGGAGCAGCAGAGCGGAGAGAGAACAGACAAGACAGACAAGACAGAACCGAAAAAATAGATAGACAAATAAATTCAAAAGAAACAGAAATAACCGCAAAGAAAGAGAAGAGAAGAGAAGAACTTAGGAGAGGGGAGATGTAGGTCGTCCTTTCATTGAAAGGGTGGACTGGAGAGGGAAGAGAAGAAGAAGAAGAAGAAGAGACGAAGACGAAGACTTCCAGTGAGAGAAGGAGAACGAGTCAGGGTCGGGAAGTGGCCGGGAACAGTTTCGATGATGACTCCGCGCCGTTTCCGAAGAACGCCCAACTTGGGCATGGTTCGTCCTGTCTATCGGGTTGATCTGAATTTTTATTACTTATATTGTCTTTCATTCTATTCTTTATCTGTTCGTCTATCACCTCGTTGCGATATCTCTACGCTCTACGCTGTACTCTATACTCTGTAGAAACCGAGGCCTCCCGTCCTCAGGCATCCATACTCCGGACTCCTGAGTAGAACAGTCTAACAGATAACTATAACCTACATTACCAATACTCCAGACAGTGGAGTCCAGTGTAGTAATCTAGTAGTCCAATATAATCACATCTATCAAATACAAAGAGACTCCATCGCAGTCCAACTCCGTCATACTCCCTGCAGTCAGGCGCAAAGCGCCGAAGACGGACGGGGGAGTCCAGCCGCCTCCACGCCACCCTTTCGCGGCCGGAGAGGCTGTGACGCAGGCGGTGTTCTCCTTTTTTCTGCACTACTATTTTTATACCCAATATACTAGTAACTATACAATGGACAAATGACAATATACTACATCTGATAATAATAGATAACACAGCCAGCTCCTGCCTCCTATCTCTGACTCTACCTTGACCGGAAACCTACTTTGTAGGGTTAAAACTCAGGACGGGAAAAGTCCCGGCATAACTCTCCCCGACCATGGGCAGTCCGTCAGTCAGTCCCCCAGCAGACTAAACTCAAGCCGGTCGCGCAGGCAGGCATAAACGGACAAATCCATGGTTGTGCAAAGACAACTGTCCTTGTGGGACCACCAGGCAACAGAGAACTCCACCCGCTCGGAGGCTGTCTGAGTTAGTCTTACTGTCGACGACGAGACTGGCCGGGGGGTTGGTATTCCATCAGCTAATGAGAATGATTACGAAGATCATCAGACTGACCTCCGAAGGCTGGTTCCTCTTCCTCCTCCTAAATAATCTAGTTAATTCTAATCCTTAGTCAGGGAGGATTATGAATCTTATGATTGTGGTCATCATTCTTACTCAATCTGATTGCCTCTGTCTTGACGGGGTTGTCTGTCGAATGTACATGCGTCGATGCGGGTCTTTCTTTGTCTACCTGCAGGATACATTCTGTCAAGTACTGGACTTGGGATTTAGTGTACATACTGTACATGATGTCCTGCGTGTCGTCGGTAGTGTATCTCTAGACTGTTAGACTGTCAGGTGTAGAGACTAGAGATGGGCTCGTTACGGAGTCTGAAGAAAATGGGATGTGACGGCAGCAACGCCGGCGTGTAGAACCCGTCCTGGCTGACTCAGGGCGGGTCACGTGTGGTCAGATGCCGGGGATCCCGTGAGAAAGACGGAGAGTCGGAGAATACATCATCTACTCCATGTTTCCCATTTCTCGAAGAATCTTCGAAATTCCTGGAGTACTAAGGATAAATGATAGAATGTCCTTGATTACTGTCTTTATTCCCATCTCTACATATACCAGTTCTTGGATAGTCTCACAGTGTATACTTCCAAATCACCCCTACGTATTCCCGTAGACTATATATACTTTCACCAAGTGACCCGACAAAAACACATCCAAAACGTACAAATGTCCCAGTAATCCAAAAAAAAAGAAAGAAAGAAAGAAAGAAAAAAAAAAACATACTGTACCCCGTAATACTATCATCATAAAATCCAACTCCCAACCAAACCCAAAAATCACCATCAAATCCAATAAAATCCCCCTGCGGGGTCACACGTTGACCAGACTGGACCGCCAACCCGGTTCGAGCTGCATACGCCGGCAGGAATGCAAATGCAATGCAGTCTTGGGGCCCTTGCTCTGTGTGAAGAGGGACGAGCAAAATTATGCGGAGTGGAGACTCATTTATTTCACCCTCATGATGTACTATATACTTCATAGCCACCTTAACCCCCTCCCTAAGCTCCGTATTTGCACCTAGGTGTAAGATACTGTAATCAGATATTACCACTAGGTACTGTGTACATACAACCCAAGAGCCAAGACTAAATCCAGTCAAAACGACCATGCATACCCCGTCCGCGCACGTTGTCTTGTCTTGGCTCGTCTCCGACAGAACGACACCGTCTCGTCCCGATCGGGCAAGCCGTGCATGGACAGGATGCGTGCTAATGCAGGCTTCCCTTCCCGCATGCGAGCTTCTGGTTTTCCATTCTTGCTCGTGGATGGTGTACATACCTACCTAGTTAGTATGTGTAGGGTCGAAGTGTTTTGTAAGGATTACTCTTCTGACTCTGGATGTACTTTCGACTAGACAAGGTAGATACAGTACGTACTTTCTTGCGTAGTACTGAAGTAATGATCTGATCTAGGGGATACCTTGGTGTCCTTGACGACATGAACAAATGTAATCTGCACATGTATATGTATATGTACAGTTCAAATATACATATCCCTCCAACTACAGTATAGTATAGTATAATAGTCTAGACACAAAAACAGTCAAGAGAAACAAGACCAGACCAGACCCCAAAAGTGGAGAATACTTTCTTCCAACTCCATTCATACTCAGTGGTGTAACCAACGTAAGGTACCTACCTATCTACCTAGTCTAACCCACCTCCGCGTCTATACTTATACCCAACAACCCAAGGCCCAAATCAGACCCTTGTCCGAACAACATCCCCTCTAACCTGCTCCACAAACGCCAAAACGTCATCAAGCAGCTCCTTAGGCCGCTCAAGTGCCGCAAAGTGTCCTCCCTGGATTGAATATCATATTCGTTAGCTTCTCTCTCTCCCAACCCTCCTGTCTCCGTGTTCTCCACACGGCTCCACCTCCGCATTGGTCTTCGAGTAGACAGAACTATACGGTGTACTCAGTACTTACCTTCTCGTGATAATTACAAAACACCAAGTTCCCTGTCGTAGCGACCCACGCTTTCGGTGCAGGGATCAACTCCTTAGGGAAGTATGAGTATCCGAATGGTTTCTGGATATACCATCTTGGGTCCATGGCGTGGAGGACAGGTGGGGGTGGGAAGGCCTGTTTGTTTTATTGTTAGGGCTGGTTAATTGATGAACTGGATGATCTTGACGCAAATTCCGTAAGGCAAGACAAGAGAAGACAAAGAACGATAGTAAATGGATGGGATGAGTATGTGGGTAAGTGAATGAGAAAGAGGATATGGCATGTAACTAGGTAGCTTACCTCTCGATATGTATAAATCGACCGTGGCAATGTTCCTGTCAGCCAGTACAGTGTCACCGATTTGAGAATCGTCTCGAGGGGAAGCGGATCCCGATCATCGACCCAGTCGAGGAATTTCTCGCCGATCCTGTATGTATTGGTTAAGTCAGCGATGGTTCAGACATAGTTCACGACAGTGATAGGGATAAAACATGAGTGAAAGCATGGCAAAGTAAGAGCAATGCAGCCCTTGCAGGCATGTCCCAAGAAAGATCAAATCAAATCAAATCAAATCAACCAATCAAGAACCATCAATCATTACAATGATTGATGGTTCTTGATTGGATTTGATTCAACTCGATTGACTTGATCGACTTAGGACATGCCATGCCATGCACAAGCAGCCGCATCAACAATCCATCAATCATAATCACCAACCATTAATCAAAATAAAAATCAACATACCAAGCCAACAACGCCACCGGGTTCGTCGCAATAGCATTACCAATAGTACTAGTACGGGTTCCTTGCTCCACAAAATAGCCCGATCCCCAGAGCGCGAACCACTGCGCGCGCTGCAGATTCTGGGTCTCGGAGTCCGAAAGCTCGGAGTCGGCGACGGAGGCGGGTTTCTGGACAAAACAGCCATTCACTGCGTTGGTTAGTATTATATCAGATGTATGTATCGAGGGTGCACGCAGTATGGTTATCATTAGACAAAGTGAAGAGACGCAAGGTGGGTTGGTAGGTAGGGAGGGCATGGGATGGAGAACTCACAATGCACGGCTGTACAATCCCCGCATGAGAACAAATTAGCTATCTATTCCATTCCAAATCACACTGATGCCCACGTAGCACATCACGACCCTTCAGACTATACTCTTTTCCAGTACCGAGTATAGCACAATGCGCGCTGTACAGCGACTTGAAGCAACACAGGAACACAGGGACAAGGTTCAAGAACATGGCTAGGACAGGAAAGGACAGGACATACCCCTACAAGCCTCATAATCGACCGCCAAGATGCGCGCAACCTTCGACCCGATATCACCCGCCTGTGCGACGTAGGATTCAAAACCCAAGTTGACCATGACCTGGTTGATCACCTTGGCAATGTCTTCGGTCCCGAAGTTCCTGTCTGTTGGGGGGCCCGAGGAGAACGTGTATCCGGGCAGCGAGGGCACGATGAAATGATAGGGGAGGGTGGCGGGGGTATACCGCTCCTTGACGAGGGAGAGCAGGGGGAGGAACTCGGTGAAGTTGCCTGTTGGTTGAGTTTTGGTTAGTATTCGTAGGTAGTAGGTAAGTCTGGTCTAATCTGGTCTAGATCTCTTGAAATCTTTTGACGCGACACAGAGTCGAAGTTTATACATGGATGGAAGACGGAGGAAACTTCCCTGGCCATCCATGAAGCAGAAGAACTGGGATAGCGTCTGGCCTCTCAGAGAACAGAGCCACCAGGTGGACGTCCAATTCGTCCACGGAGTATTTGAAATGAGGGAAGCCGTTGATGTGGTCTTCCACGGCTCTCCTATGTTTTGTTAGTTGGATATACCTTATGAACGACGAAAATGGATCAGAAGAGGGGAAATAAAAAGCAAGATGTTAAACTACCAATCAAAAGACTTCCATGCCTCTCGAGCCTGGGTCAGCCATTCGGTCGTGACACCGTACTTCCGGTCCTCCTGCTGACTTTCGAACGTGGGAGGGGCGATCTTGGAGAGTTTGATTAGAAGCTGCAGCTCTTCGAGATCCTCGTCTGGGACGTGGATCTGAAACGGAGTGGGAGGGATCTTTGCTCCGGAGGGGACTTGGCTGAATGAAAGGGTCATGTTGCTTTGGTGTTCTTTACAGTGCGGAGAAGTGGTGGTGAGGGGTTGAAGGGTAGGATGAAGTAGAGAACCTGATCTTATATCAGTGGGCGGCATTAATGACATGCCTCATCCAGGACAGATCTCAAACTAGGTAGAACTAACAAATGTTAGGCAGAAAGGCCTACATCGGTGTATTATTAATGACGCCTTATCCCCGATTGTCACTACACCGAAACAAGATTGGTTTAGTTGGATCCCCTGGAATTGAGACTAGATTGACTCATCTGCATCCTTCCAACACGCCAAACAGGCTAATGGCAATGCTATAGGAAAAACACGCAATCTAACGAAGCCAAACGATATCAATATCCTAGAAAAAGAATAGACACAAAACACAAAACCAACAGACCAAGCATCTGCTTTCCAACCGGGTATATTCCATGCAAAAACATATGTCCAGGTGCAAATCACACATTACAATCCTCCCTCAGCCATTCCCCATATCATAACCACCTCTAAACCCATCCTAGACCAAATAGTGTATTCACCGTCCCCTTCCCCCAACACCCCCAATCCCACCACTGCCACCACCACCACTCACCCCCGCAACATCATGCACCACACACAACAGATACTTCCGATCCGGCACCACCACAATCTCATGTTTCTTCGTACGCATACGCAACAACTTCACCTCATCGTCATCTTCCATGTCCGATCCCTCACCGCCCTCCCCATCTTCCCGTTCACCGGATGAGGATACCCCATTTAGACCTCCATCCTGGACACCACCCGCGCCGAGACCCGACTCAGCGACACTTCTCGACCCCGCGGACTGGTTCTCCGTCCCAGGGGGCCTCGACAGCGAGTGACTCAGATCTGCAGCGCTAGCCACGAAGGCGAAGACGTGTGCTGCGAGGGCTTCGGCGTGGGAGGGTTGGTAGGGCGTCGTCGCCGTCGCCGTTGCCGTAGAGGATTGAGTTGGCGGGCTGGTAGCCGTAGCCGTAGTAGCCGTAGCCGTAGTAGCCGTAGCCGTAGGTGCTATCGAAGGCGAGGAGGGATCGACACTGCCGGCGGACGGCGAAGTAGGAGAGCCCAACGCAGGGGGCTGTGCTTGTTCTTGGGGTTGCGCTTCCGGGCCGGGTTCGTCGCTCGGCGACACCCCGGGCGCGGCCTGGGAAGACGCAGACGCGGATGCGACAGGGGAATTCGACGTCGATTTCGAAGCGATCAGCCCGGTGCTCTGGATAATCGAGCCGTCTTTGCGGGAGAGGATGAATGTGGATTGGACGCCCGGGCGGGAGGTCAGATGCGATAGGAGGGCGGTGACATGTTGGGGGATCTGGAAGGGCTGAGGACGGTTAGCTCTTGCCTTACATTTTACGTTTCGAGGAGTGGTTCGGGAATGGTGATTTAGTATCAGGAGAGCTGTCTCTGGTATGGAGAAGGTCTTACTGTTGTTGATGTTGCCGTGGCCGCCATTTTCGAGGATGCGGGGGGATGAGACGGGGAGGTTGTGAGGTGCTGTGAGTGCGCGAGTGAAATAGTTGGAGATGTGATTATTTGGAAGCCAGACTGGTCGGATCTTAGGACATAGCCTCAGTTGCGCACTGGAAGCTGTTCTCTGGACTGAATTGAAGCTGGCGCTGTTTGTTCAAAGCTGTGGTGGTCTGGGGATGACTAAGCCGTATCTTGGAGTCCTGACGATTTAGGCAGGAATATCACCTAACATGTCTGTGTCTCTTATTTCTACTCAGTTCATATGCATATGCTTCGACTGACATAGGATTGTATTTTGATTCACTATACACACCAAATCCACAAAAACACAAACCAATGGTATCTTCAAACAAAACAGCAAAATGCCGCGGCACGACAGACAAACCCCAAACAAAATACAGCGAAGGAATGACCCTCCAAAGATGTACATACAGTCACCGAGAACCCAAGGAGATTAGAGTTATACATGGAAGTGAGAGACGGATGTTTGTTGATGACCCTCGAATCGACCAGGTCAAAAACCCAACGGAAAACAGACACAAGACAAAAAAGAATCAAAAAGGAAAGAAACGGGCTAGAAAGAGTGACGGAATATCTTCAGTAAGAAAGCCTCCCAGGGAATGATTGCAAAGACAAAGAAAGAAATGAAATAGGGAAATTTCATAAAACAGAAAGATTAGCCCCGGCTGGCCGGTTGTCTCTCGGCACTAGACTTATCTAAGATCCAGTCAAAATCAAAGTCCTCGATCATGTCTTCCAACTCGCGGACATTGGCACCGTCGTCGGTTGACCCGTAGCTATCTCGTCGACTGGATCCGGGACTAGCGATCCAGCTCTCCTGGAGATAGCAAGACTGTTCTCTATTCTTGCTGCGTCGAGGCTCGTCCGCGCCAGATGAGTTGGTCGTGGTCGAGTAAGTCCGGCCGGTGCCAGACGCAGACAATGAGGTAGTCGAGCCGCTGAGCAGAGATTCAAGGTTCTCCTTGACTTCGACATCCAGTGCGGCCAAGAGAGCAGCCTGAAGGATTTTGTTCTGGCGCTCAAGATGCGCGATGCGTCCTTCTAGGTTCATGGCATACGCACGATGCCGACTGCCCCGTGAGTCCTGAGAGTAGTAGGTACTCTGGGAGAACTGGGACTGCGGCGAGGACTTCTCGACCCCGCGGATCCTGCGGCTCCGAGGAGTCGAGGGCCCGTTGGGCTCGTGTAGCAGCTTCTTCTTGGAGTGTCGTGCGCGGTGGGTGGCAGGCTCGCCTACAGAGAGAGGAGCCGGCCTGGACTGTCGATGCGAAGAGAGGGGCCGCATCTGGTTGCCTTTGTGCGAGCTGCCGCTCACGCATTCGTCCTCCGAGGAGGGAAGAGGGCTTTCGGCGCGATCCGCCGGACTCTGCCCCATGGGCAAGTCCTCGTGGATGACATCTGCGCTTTGTGCGCTGCTGCTGCGACAACCTCGCGAGGCGCGGTTAGACTCGGGCTGCGATGAGCGTTCGTCTCTTCCGTTCGAGAGTGCAGGCGAGCTGCAGACGCGTTTGCCGGTGGTGTTATTGCTGATGGGGAAATTAGGTAGTTGGGAGAGCAGAGGAGAGAGGGGTGGCGATTGAGAGTTGGCTTCGCTCAGACGAGAATCGATGGATTCTCCGCCAGTTTTCCGTGATGATTCTGTGGGTGGTCGAGAAGACTTGGACGATTGATCGTCATTTGAACTCTTATCTCCGCCCTTAAGATAAAGACGGCTGGCAGACATATCCTTCATTTTCAATGCCCGCACCCTCTCCGCTCGACTGGGTCCAGTTCTGACCAGCTCCTTAAAGTCGGAATGTTTTGAAGAGCTTTTGGAAGTACAATTTTGCATCATGGCAGCCGCATCTTTGCTCTCTTTCACTCCAGACTGGGTGCTACTCCCCTTAGAGCTGGCTCCGGAGACTTCTTCGGATGACCGGGAATCTGAGGTATTGGGTTTAGATTGGGACAACCGTTGCCCAGCAGCAGTGTTTCGTTCTCGATCCGCATTGATACCCGCAAGAGACTCTGGCAGAAGAGGTAGCGGTCGTGTGGGCGCAGGGAGAGGGAATGCATTGATGGCACCCAATGGCAGGGACGCGGGTCGACGATTCGTTAGCGGACGGGGAAACTTTTCGTGGATGGGACTGGCTGCCGAAAGCCCGATAAGCTTGGTGGGTAGTGCCAAAGAATCGGGGCTCGAGCCATTTGAAGTATCGCTAGAGGGATGTGTGGTTGGGGTGCTGTGAGAGAGTCTCTGGGTATCACCGCTTGGTTTGGCCGTGGAGGCCTTGTCATCCGGCCGAAGTACTCGGGTTTCAGGAGTGACTGGGAGAGGCCTGTTTGGTGGGCGAGTGCCCGAGATGCGCCAGGCTCCTTTGCTCGAGACACGTGGGGGCATAGGGTCAGGGAAAAGTTTGAGCGTGTGTGCCGGGGTCTGTGACGACGCAGATGTGTTGGATGAAGTTGAATTACGCGCTGACTTGTTCCTAGCGTCTTTGGACTCGATTGGCTTGGGCTCCTGAGGTTTCTCAGTGGGCTGCTTACAGTTAGCCTTTAGCTTTTGCCTCGAGGCATCAGAACTTACCTTGTTGCTGACATCCATAGCAGTATTCGGCACGGCAGACGATGGCCTGGAATCGGAGCCAGTAGCCAGCTGGGGGTTTGGAATCTTGGGAGGAGCATCCGTCCCATCTTTTCGAGACCCGCCAGTCTCTTGTTCCTTGTTCTTCACCCCCGAGGCACCAGCATCACCTGGCTTAGAAACAGTAACGTAGTCATCGCCTGCAATACTGCTTGGTTGGGTAGGCGGCTGATAAGGTGGGGGGTTCCCATCCTCAAACTGAGAAAGCGAGACCGAAGCCTCCACCAGCGACCTCAGGTCTCTGATATCAATCGACGACATGCGACCATCCTTCGTCTCCCGAGTATCCAATCTCTCCAACGGATCATCCAGCCACGGCTGTCCAATGCGCTCCACATCGCGCCGTGAACTCGACTTAAAGCTCAAATTCGAGCTCGAAACAGTTGAGTCCAGACTCTGCTTGGCCTCGGATCTTTTCGGTTTAGGCGGCGGCAGAAACCCCGCCTGCTGCAGCGCCAGCAATTGACGAGAATCCTCCTCGGCCTTGGTCTTGGGGTCTACTGGTTTTTTCTGACGCTGAGCGAGCTGCCGTAAGCGCCGGTGGCCCGCTTTCAAGAAATCGCGGGCCCCCAAGCCTTGGATGTTGCCATTGGGAGAGTCATTCTGAGACTGGAACAATTGTACTAACTCGGGAACGGTTTCACTTCTGATTTGACTCGCGGGCGTTTCGGGCCGCTGGGGGTCTCCGTTCGTGAGGGCGGACATGCTGCGGTGTCCTCGCCTGGATAGCTGCGAGCTCGGTCGACAGGTTGGAACGATTGGACTGGGGGCGACTAGGTTCTCATACGACTCGTTCCGATGCTGCATAAGGGGGCTGAGCTGGATCGATCGGATTTCAAACAGTCCCGTGGAAGATACGAGACATCCGCATTGACAGCGGTGAGAGGGGAGTGTAGGAGAGCGTCGAAGGCGTGCGGTATGTATAAGGGGTAGAAAGGAAGGGCAAGCGAAGGAGGCGAAAGGAGGAGCGTAATCTCTTTATACTTTTTGCGACACGATGGAGTTATCTTTGCGGTCAACAGATGTCATCAAGTATGTCATGCAGGAGGGGAGTGTAGACAAATCAAAGAAGTAAGCAGCAGACGAGACAGGCAAACCAAAGAGAAGAAATAAGTGCTATGCCTCATGTATGTACAGGAACTCAAAGGGATGGCGCCGCTGCGGGAACTGAATGAAAAAAGAAAACTTCAAGCAGAACAAAGTCGGGGAAGCAAAGGAAATGTCGAGTTTAAGAAGAAAGGCATCGAATCTCGACCTGTCAGCTCCTACATAATAGGGTGCGTCCATCCCGGACGTGACAAACCGAAAGAATGCAGAGCAGATGCATCGCCGAATGAAGAGCGGACCTCGTTCTCGATAATTCAAGAGATAGAGTTAGATCTAAGTAGTGCTATGCCACCATGCCAGGATTCATCGGCGTCCAAGGGCCAAGAGAGGATAAAAATTCTCCAACAGGGAGATGGCGGCAAGGATGCCTAGTTGGATGGACCCTTCGTAGCCGAAAAGGGGATGAAACGACAGAGGGAGAAAAGAAAAAAATAAAATGAAAAATGGTCCAATAATCATAATAGAAGAAAAATGAGAAAAAAAAAATCCTCAAAAGAAAGGAAAGAAACGTTGAGAGCGAAGACGATGCCGTCCGTGCCAGCAGTTCGATCGGGATTCAAGATGCCACAAATGACAGACCGGCGGGCTCCATCCAGCTGGGAGAGACTATTTGATCGGAAAGATGGGTCCCCCTTGTCATGGCTGCAGTAGTCATTTTTTCCTTTTCGTTCTGCGGCCACACAGGGTCGTCTGATCCCAATTGGAGTTATTGTTTTTCCCCCCCTGGCCTTCTGTTCTGTAGCCGTAGTTGGTTCTGGGTTCGACGATATCGCTCAAGAATATTACTGTAACTTCCAGGATGAACAAAGGGAAGGAAGCTTGGCTCCGTCCCGAATATGGGAAACCCAGGTCGGCATTAGTTACCAGCTTGTGTGACGTCGTGCTAGATCCATCTCAGCTTCTATTAGGCTATTTCAGGTACCAAGGGACCGTCGAAGAACCGTTACACGCAAGGGATGGGATCATGGGAAGGGGAGACCCGATCATCAGTCTGGTCTTTTTATCGAAGAACCCATCCGGAGGGTTCGAGGTGGGGTGATCAAGAGGAATGAGTTCATCCCTTTACGAAAAAGAGCGGCAAAGGAGAGTCGATGACGCAGAGGATGTGAGGTATCAACTCCGGCTCTGATCAGACGGAGAAGTCAGTGGCACGGAGGGCACGTAAGTCCGTCGGCCAACGTAAGGACCAGCACCCACGGAGGGTGGAGCGGGAGAAGAGAAAAAGCATAAGAAAAGAACAGAAAAGCAAACGTACACGACTAAGGGCAAGGGGAGCGATGCAGGAGCGACAATCATTCGAATGTGATAGATGGGAAGGATGGGAGGGAGGGAAGACGACGAGTCACAAAGCGAGCCTTACCGCCGCCTCTCGCCATTATTTGCCCTAATTCTTCCCCGATTCGGGAGCCCCGGAGTATAAGGAAGGCGATAAGCTGCCAGATTGGAATTACATAGCCATTCCGTCCAACTTAATTGGTATTATTCACTACTGCGTTAGTAGAAACCCTAATTTAGTAGACCTAAACCTCAAGATCCAACATCTACTGTAGATACTGTGTATTTTGTTTGGTAGGCACCAACGATTCTTCGTGTGCAGGAAAGACTGAAAGTAGGGAGAGACCCTATGTTCTCATACCCCATGCTCATGCCCCTTTCCTGTCACAATCCCCTCAAAACCTCGTGTCAGGGTTTGCCTGGTGCAGCGGCACCACGCGCCCAAGGGATCTCAAGCAAGGAACGGCATGAAGGAAGTGCAGGGAGCGAGAACTACTATGGTACTCCGTAAGAGGGGGTTGCCGCATTCTGCATACAGAAATAAAATCAAAATAGAATAGAGAAGAACAATAGGTAGCAAACTGTAGCTACTCACCCCATACTCCGTAGTCAAAAAAGAATAGAAAAAGGAGACAACAGACAGTCTAGCCAGTCCAGGTCCACATCTCCTTTCCCCCTTGCAGAGGGCAGAGGGGAGAGGATAGAGAACAGAACGCAGCAGAGAAGCCAGAATGCACAGGCAAAGCTTGCAGACAGAACGAACGAAAGAAAGAAGGAAGGAAGGAAAGTGAATCGCGCAAGACCTCAAAAAAAGAGGGATTTACCCTGTCGTACGCGGCTATCTCCAGTTCGTATGTCCAACCCTGCGTGTGGGCCGTCTCCATCCCACACATCATGTCTCTGTCGTTCATGCAGACTGCAGAGTATATCCCAAATCCACCCACCAGAGCCGAAAAGAAGCGATGATTTGATTATCTCCGATGAGATGCGTGTAACCGTTCTGAAGAAAGGTTTCGATCCGCCAATCGATCGTGGCCGGGAAGCTACATCGCCGTCCGATGCGACGGCAATCGGCATGACAGGTCTTAGATCTTCCCTGTTCCGTGATCTATCGTCCAATGGAACTGTTGATGAGCTGGATCTTATTAGAATTAGCTAGACCTTCTTGATCGTCCGGTTCTCTTTTTCAATTTTCTCTTTTGTTGGCTGTTTAGGTTCTGCTTTTCTGTTCGGGCTTGATTTGACAGGACATGATTTGACAGGACATGATTTGACAGGACATGATTTGACAGGACATGATTTGACAGGACATGACAGGACTAGACAGAACAAGACTCGACAGCCCATGGTGGATTGATTGACTGATTGTCAGTGCTCGATGCCGGTGCGGCCCCTCAATAAACCATACTTACGTACATACTCCGTACATAGCATCTGCACAATGTACATCCATACTCAGTAGAACAGATCGATTCTCCCTCCCTCCTTATCCCGTTACCAGAGCCACCCAGTGTAGACACATAGATAGTAAGGCAAACAGTACCCAGTTAACTAGGCACCGACTCGTCCGCCTCCTATCATATCATGTCATATCGGATCGAATCGATCGTACGATCAATTTCATCACCGATATGACGGCCGAAAATCTGAGAGCCGAGCTGAGCTGATTATGGGGAACGGAAATAGATGAGGAAAGTGACACGACGGTTTATAGTGCTTTTAATTTCGGTAGGTGTTTGTTTGCTTGTTTGCTCTTGGCGGATGTCTTACTCCATATGTAGTAGTAGGTACGGAGTACAGTAGTCTGGTCTTCGTTAGCCTCCCTCTCCGTGTCGGTGTCAGTATCTTCTCCCTCAAACTAAGGATGCAATGCAGCGCGTGCAGTGCGGTGCCCAGTTAGGGCGTAATAGGTAAATTGTCTCGTTTTCCAAATTACCTGCTGATTGGTTGGTCGATTGATTAATTGTTTGTTTTGTCTGGGCCTGGGCATGATCAGGCCACGCCCAAACAATAACAATAAAATTCAGTTCGATTCAGAAACAATCATATTATTAATAACTTTCGTTGGGATCGGAATCGATCGGATTTTAAAGCTGTCCACGCATGGAATAGTAGGCAAAATGGTGCTCGGTTGTTGTCTACCTCCCTTCCTAGGTAGGTACAGTATTTGTATTGCTGTGATTACAATTCGGACGTGCATACCCACCTACCTACCTACCTACATAGGTGTGCCAACCTCTTCCAGAAAAAAAGAACCCGTAATGGCTCAGGACTCAATCCTCTTCCTATAGTCACTGGCTACTTACTGGTCACCGACATGCTTTATGTTGCACAATAGTACTGGCACAAGCAATAGTGTATACAAACCCATCCAGCCTCTGCCATAACTACTATACATAAGTATGTACCTCTTCTTTTCCAGACTACCTAGCCAGGAAACAAATATTCACAAAAATCTACCTAACAATACACCCGCCCACTCACTCATCCACCAACCAAAGTGAAATTCAATTCGTGTATCCATTGCTCAAAAAGGAAACTCAAAAAAAATGAAAGAAAGAAAGATCCACCTGTACCACCTCACCCACCATCTAAGGGAGGGGATAAAGCTCTCCCCTTCCCATCCCTTTCCACAACACAGTACATGCGGTAGACGATGGGAAGATCTGAGATGAGCCATAAACATAAAACGAAAATAAACAAAACGCCTCGCAATGCTTTTAGTCTTCGTGTCCTCTCCTGTCCCGTTCTTTAGAAAACATTGTAACCCTCCTGATGAATGAGACCTTACAATCAGACCAAAATGGAGGTTATGAGTAAATGTAAGTGTAAGTGTAAAAACAGTACAGGGCAGGGAAAGCAAAGAAAAGGAAAAAAAAAAAAAACCACATAGAAAAAGTATGTAATATGACATGGAAGGTAGAACGGGGAAAACCCACCAAGAAAGAAACGAGGAAGGAAGAACGGCATGTGAAGGGACACAGAAGGAGGTCCTCAAAAGCTCAAGACACTTAGACAGACAGACAGACAGATGCATGGGAAAAAACTCAGCGTGTCATAGGTAGGTCAGTAGGTCATCCGACCCTTTCTCTTCGAATCGAAGGTATATGACAAGCCCCTGAAATGAAAAAGGAAACGAGCCCAAGAAAAGCAGGGGAGAAAGAAGGTGTGAATATGTCCGGGCCGGTATCACAACGGCAGAAGTTCACGTAGCTACTTTCTCTTCGGCCTAATAAATGGATCGGCGTCTTTCTTTTTACGCCTCATGGGAGGAGGCGGAGGTCTGACTCCGTTGCCTGGACGTGGTGGCTGCCGTGGAGCCTACGCAAGGTACGAATTAGTAAGAAAAAAAAAAACAAAACACCATGTGGGAGTAAACCTGCGGAAGGATTCGAACGTACATCGGTCGATGCGGAGCCCGCAGCTGGGCCGCTTGGAGGTGCAGGTTTCTTCTGCTTCATAGGGGCATACGCCGGCCCATCCCGAGATGGCTTGACTAGTCCTAGACCCTGTAGGAATCGATTAGCTCAAAAGGAACCAAACTAACGGGGGGAACTGGTGGGGAAATATCATTCCGACAACCAAAAAAAGAAATAAGGGGGGATACATACATCGGGCCTAGTTGGAATATTGGCATCGAGCTTCCCGCGCCGTGGACCCTTAGGGGCATTCGGCGGAGTATTTAGATCGCCCCTGCGTTTGGGACCACTCGGGGCATCAGCAGGTGGCGAATTTGAACGTTTGCGTTTGATCGAGCCTTTGCTGGAATCGACCGATTTGCTGGGCTGCTCGATCGATTTATTGGCCTCCGAGCCCGTGGTCACCTGGATCGACGGAACCTTAGGGTCATGTCCCCCGAGTTGCTTGGCACGCTGGCGTTCGGCTCTCTGCTTCTGCATATGAGCCAGGTTATTCTCCTCCCGCGCAATCTTCCCCTTTTCGAACTTTGACAGGGGCTTGGCCGCGTTGCAGGCGGCGGCGAGATGTCCGAATTGGCCACACTGCACGCATCGCTCTGCCGTGCACATGATACGTGTATGTCCCGATTGCCCGCACCTGAAGCACGTGCCTTGGGTTGCCTCCCTTGCCTCGATATTGTCGCAATTGTGGGTCATGTGTTCAAAGCTGCCACACTTGCCGCACATGCGAGTCTCATCCAAGCCATTGTGGCCTCCTGACGGACCTTCCGGGAGTGGCATGGGTGGGGTACCTCTCCCGGAGGCAGACACCGAGGGGGAGTCAGAGGGAAGGTTATCGAGAGAGACGGAGGATGGTCGAGAGACCGATCCCACCGATCCCACCCCAAGAGGGGTCTTCGACCCCGGAGCGTCCATGTCCATCATCTCAACGTTGTTATAGCCGGTGAACTGAGGCTGTTGGAGGGCCTTCAAGACATCACCATCTGTGTAGACGTTTCTTCGGCGGGAATCCTTGACCAAACGGTTCCAAAACTCTCCCTGCACCAGGGACTTAGAGTTACCAAGAACCCAGAGAGACGACTTGGCACGCGTCAATCCGACGTTCATACGACGAATGTCGGACAAGAAACCAATTCCCTTGTTGGAAGATCGAACGCAGGAGAATATAATGATCTCACTCTCTCGACCTTGGAAAGCGTCGGTGGTATTGAAGTCGATCATGTTGAAGATAGAATTGCCGTATCGAGCCGCAAAATGCGTTTTCAGCTCTCGAAGTTGACCCTTATAAGGGGTGATAATGCCGATCTTTCCAGCGAAATCGTAGCCTTGGAAGTCGCTCATCAAACGTTCGTATAATTGCATTGCCACCCTCAATTCAGCCAAGTTGACCAGAGAGTGTCCCTTAGCTGCGCTCTGATGAAGACCTTGCACATCGAAGAATCGGTACGGACTGAGGAGCTGGCTTTGATGCCAAGGACGCGTCCGAAGCTTACCCATGTCCGGACCATCCTGCAGTTTGCCGTCGTAGAAGGCGAAACTGGGGAAAGCACTGATTTGCGGATGCATACGGTACTGGATATCCAAAAGATGTACATCTCGCGGGTGGTTGGCCTGCATTCGGACGAACAGACTTTGTTCGTACTGGAATTTCGAAGCGACTGTCGACAAGACAGTGGGCGGCAACTGTTTGGGATCACCAACCAGGATACATTTAGAGCAGCCGTACTTCAGCGGGATGAGGGCACTCAATTCAATCGACTGTGCCGCCTCATCGATAACGACCGTCTCAAACTCAATGCTCAGATTCTGGAACATATCGTGACCACTTCCACTGAGTGTCGCACAGATGACATGGGCGCCTTCGATGATCTCCTGCTGGATCCGTCGCCGGTTCAAGTCGGCATCACGCGCCGCTGAATGGTTCTTGTCTCTAGCATTGTCGATCTGTTGGCTCAGCTGGGTCTTCTTCTTCTTGAGCAAGTCGAATTCCCGTTCCAGCTCGGCCGGAACAGGAAGGCCCTGCGCTCTGCATTGGTCGATCCTCGAGCGAGTTTCCTTGAAGGCGGTATCGGCGGATTTGTGCTCCATGTAGATTTTCTGGAGGTCGACTTCACCGGAGTCCTTTCCGGATTTCTGATTCAATCTCTCATTCACAAGTTCATCCAGGGTCACGTCCTTGACGTTCGTGTTAATAGCATCGCTTCTTCCCAATCTGATAACCGACAACTTCTCATGGCGCCCTTGCACCGTTTTAACGCCTTCCTTGAAACGCATGACCAATTCATCAACGGCCGCATTACTGGGCGCGCACACAAGTAGCTTCTTCGACGTAGTGGTTCTTGCGGGAGGTCGCGCGCCGCGGATGGCCGTCGGCCGCGAGATTGCTACGCCCTGGTCACCGAGGACATTGGTCAAGAGAGCACCCACAAGGGCAACGATGGTCTTTGTCTTTCCGGATCCCGGAGGACCTTGAATAAGGGTGAAAGCGTCATTATCCAGAGCGGATTTAATTGCTTTGGCTTGGGCGGAATTCACGTTATAGTTATCCGCGATGGGTTTTAGACTGGAATCGGAGTAATTAAGAAGGGGCGACGGCTTGGCCTTCACGATCTCTTCACAAAGATCATAATATTGTAAGGCCATAAGCGCGCCGTATTCACGCTCAAGCGGCGTTAGAGATGTAATCTTCGCACCATGAATCGTTGCACCCGGAGCAAGAGCATTGATGAAGGCGTTGCCAGGGTTGACTCTGTAAGACACCTCTACAGTGCCCTTCTTCCTATTGATCCCGGAGACTCTAGCCAGGCAATGAGGAGCGGACGGATTCGAAGTTGGGGCCTCTGCCTTTGACAGAAGCACGATATCTGCCTCGCCCAGACCGTAGTCCTTAGCTTCCATCGCCGGTAGAACCGTGCTGACTTCAACAAACGAATCCACGGACAAACGGGTGGCGACCTTGATTTCAAACGTCTTAAACGAGTTCTCTTCCTTTGATGACTGGAACCCTTGCCAAGCTTCCAAGGTCAAAAGCGGCTCAAACGTCTTCTGATACTCAATAGGATCCCTGAAAGCGTTGGAAACAAAGCTGTAATCAGTTCGCCCAGAGTTGGGCGGCAGGTCGCCGTTTGCGAAAAAGTCCCAGGCGAGGATGGTCCGATGCAGCGAGGACAGATCCGGTGCCAACCGCGCTCGCATGTCCTTCGCAGAGCGCACTTGCCGGACCTTCTTGACCGGGCCCTGGTGCTTGAGCGCCAGCCGTTTGCTTTCCTCGTACGCTCTAACGGCGTCTGGTTTGCTTTTCGTCTTCGCGCCAAAGAGCTCCTTGTCGAGCTCGTCCTCGCTCTCCGAGTCGGATTCCGACCCAGAGGAAACCATCATGCTATCCACGGGATGGCTGTGGTCTTTACCCTTGACGCCGATGCCACTCAACCCGGATCCTTGTTCGGCGGTTTGCTCAGCAACGCCCGCCGCGCCGGCGTTCTTCTTATAGCGGGCCAGCGCTGCCAGGTCGCGCTTCTTCTTCTCTTCTCGTTCCCTCTCTCGCTTTTCACGGAAAGACTGAACGGTCAGAGCAGGGTTCACAGGGGCCGGAGTAGGCTTAGGAATCGCCGGAAGTGCCTTGGCCTTCTCGGCCTTCTTTTTGGCCTCCGCGGCAACCCGTGCTTTATTGAGCTCGACCGATCGAGACAGCTCCATCAGGACATCATCCGGTAAGTCGTCGCCGTACTCATCCGGCGTCTTCGAGGCACCAGAGGTACCCGAAGCGTCCGAGGGCTTAGCAAATGCAGTGATGCTGCTCTGCTTCTTGAAACTAGCGGTCGACGCGGTTACTACGGGTTTCTTATAGTACGCCTCTAACGCCCGAACAAGTTCTGCCTTCTCCCGCAACGTCAAGATGGTCTTCGTGGTCGACGTGACGGCGACACTCTCGATAAACCTCAGGGCATCGTCTTTGATAGCGGTGACACTAAGCTCGCCCAGGCGCCGAAGAAGTTTGGACACCAGTCCCACTAGGGTGGTGGCTAGATATTCATCCTTAAGTCGAAGCCATCTAACCATTGCACTCATCGTCGTACTCGGGGATTTGAGGAAACTCTCACGCGCAGAGGGCTCCATGTTCGGGTCTGCGTCACCAACAGCACTCAAGAATACGCCATACTGGTCGAATAATAAATCGGCGAATTGAATACTATCCCGACAGAACTCCAGCATAACGGATCGATCGTTACCTCGAAGATGCCAAGATTCTGTCTGATCGAATATAGTAGTCAAAGCCTGCCATAAGTATTCCCAGAGCTTCTGCAGCGAGAGGACCTCCCTCCGCTCAGCAAGTTTGCGGGTTCGGAGCATGCCATTTTGGCTGTCGCAAAGGATATCCACGATGTCTGTTCCCGTATGTAACATTCGAGGAGCCGAAGCAAACGTTTTCATATTCGATATCCGGCGGAAAGACCAACTGAGACCGTACATCGCTGTCGAGAAGAACGCCTGCAGTAAATGGGAAATCGCATCTCTTCTGGCGGACTGGCCGCTGACGTTCTTGATGAGATCGACAGCCGCTTGATAGGTGTTGAGGTCGGCGGCAAAAAGTGCAGAAATCAAAGCGCTGCTCGTGTCCTGGCTCTTGAAAAGTTCATCAAGGTGTTCAGGCTTAAAGTCCGCAAGGCGCTCGATTATTTGACACGACAAGTGAGTAAGATGTCCATAGATCACGTTGAAGTGAGTCTTTTCTTGACTGGCATCACCCCTCGTAGGAAATTTCTCCAGGCCAACTAGGGGCAGTATACCGAGTAGGGCCGACGTAGAGAGAGGCAGGTTGTCTTCATGGAGATGGCCTACTACCGCGTCCCAGATCGTGGACGAATATGTACTCACCCCGTGCTGAAGAGTGTTTTGCCGCAAGATCACTTCATAGTCACTCCTGAGAGACTGGCACTCGAGTGCTAGGGTATTCCGAATGACATCCATACATAGTGTGGATATCTCCTGCTGCTTCCCTTGCTCTACGTCAAATTTAGGGGGTTCAAGGATCGCACGGATATTGGCTCCCACAACGCCCAATGTCTCGGACAGGACAATACGCGCCACGGAGCCTCTGGAAGACTCATGGTCGGTGAAGCTGCGCAGAGTATGGAGCAAGCTGATCAAACCGACGTGGAAACAATGATACCTGGCCAGTTTGGGGAAGCGCGAGTCTTGCAGGCGATCGAGAAGCTGATACACCAAAGACCTACACGCCGATGGCTGATGCGCACCTTTCAGGGAGGACATAAAAGGGGTAATCCATGACAGCATATCTTTCATGGCGGACTTTTCGTACGGTTCGCCTTCGGTGGCCTGCATCAAGAAGGTATCCAGTTGGGGGTTGTAGAAAACAACCTCGATGAGAGCCTGCGGTGATATCGTTTGCATGGCGTCCCAAAAGTCTCCTGGAGCTTTCTCCAGGAAAATCTGAATCGTGTTCAACAAGAACCTCAATCCCGGTGATTGAATTCCGAGATGGTCCACTGAAAGGCGACACGGATCGATCTCAAGGGCGCGCAGGTTATGCGTAATTTGGTCCTTATCCAAGCGGCGAACGACCAGCTGCATTCCGCGCCAAAGTCTCTGAATCACCGCTATTTGCGCGGGCTGCTGAGACGCCATCCGCAGCGCATCCAGCAGTCCCTCCTTAACCGCCCAGTCGAATTCCATCGTCGAAGGAGGCCGCGAATACCGCATCCACGAGCTAATCGCCCAATAGCTGCGGCCCTGATTGGGATCAAACAGGAACCGCGTCACGGCAGGGATATAATCCGACACCTTCAGGGTCCGCTTCGTCTGAATCAAACGAAACGGCTCATCGAAATGCTGCTGCAACAACGCATCATTCCGCAACATAGCGTCACAACTCAGCGTCTCAAAGATCGACAGCAACGACGCCCGATCCAACACATGCAATCCAATCTCCTGCAGCGGAACCGCTTTCAGCTTTTCCGTCGCCGTGATCAGATTCCTCGTTATCCGTTTAATATCCCATTCGTCCAGCATGCGCGCGAACCGCTCGATATCCTCGTCATCGTAGGTCTCTTTCAGGTGCTCCATGAGCCAGATTTTTCCCGTGTAGTATTTCTTGATGCAGAGGTCGCATTTTTCGAGCGAGTCGTCCAGTTTCCGCCAGATCCAATTCTGCAGCTCCTTGATCTCTTCTTGGCTGTAGGCTAAGATGCGCATACAGGACAGGAACTTCTCCTTGCGAGTCGTCGCTGCTGTTATCACGTCCGCCATGGGCTTTCCCGACTCGTCCACTTCGTTCGGATCGTCGTATCGTCCGTGGTCGTCGTCATGTTGTCGAGGACACAGGATGTGAACGTTATCGGGGAGGGCCTGGAGTTCGCTGCAAGATAGACGGTCACTCAGCTGTTACATCTGAAAGATGGGAGAGAAATAGACAAAAAAGGGCAGCCTCGCCAAATCATAAACAACTTACCCAATAATATCCATGAACTCCATGGCGCCGGTTTCAACCTATACAGGTACGCTGTGTGTGTTGTCGCAACAGATGAGAGATCACGGCATTCCTCGTCCAAGTAGAAACGGAATATGTCCTTCGGGCAAAAATTACAAAATTCTTGTCCAGTAGCAATACCATCAAATCATCCAGCTATAATGTGTGGTCGCGGACACCAATATAACCATGGCTAACAATGGGAACAAAAGGAACCTTCACTTTTCAGATGCACGCCACCATGGGTGACAGCACAGGGAAGCGAGTCAAGACTAATCAAATCAGAAATAAAGGTCTGTGCAGTACCGGAAAAAGGAGATTAAAGGTGAGATTTGCCCCAAGGCCTCCTCCAGCTTGAGAGGCACAAATAAATTGTGAATGGGTGAAGGAAGAGAGAGCATGGGCGAGGCAGGCAATACAAAGAGTAAATTGGCACGGGCATTTGGTGGGGTCCGATTGGCTAGCTAACCAGGGCGGTGAGGCACGTCAAACGGCCACTTTACGCGCAGAGACGCGTTGGTTCTCTGAATTCTACGGAGTACTCCAGTTACTGAATGTCTCTAACAGCTCATTTCATAGTCACATCCACGTTAATAATCAATTCATTGAGGTTTCCAATAGAACACGTAAAACCCGTAAATCTCCTCCCCACATAACCTCATTGCATGTGCTGGCTTTCAAAGCACTAAAAACCTCCTAGAGCTATAAAGTAGCTCGAGATTATTATATGTAAAGCAATCAAGAAAGAGAAAAAGAAAGGACGGATATAAGAAAAGGTGAGAGAATGCGCATTCACAGAGATGCTTTTGTACAAGAAAGAGACGGGCAGTAGTACGCCAGGATGTAAATGTGAAGGGGGGTGGAAAGCAAGGGTGAAGGAAGTTAATAAAACTTCAGTAAACACAGAAAGAACAAAGATGTGCGCCAATCACCAACCAGATTTGTATACCAAACGCCTTCTATCGGGGAATAAGTAGACAACGCGGCTCCAGTAAAACAAGGAGATTACTCGTCATACAAAATAGAACAGATCAGATGCAGCGGCAATTAGAGGAAAGAGAAAAGAAATCGACAGGGTCGTAAGGACAGGAATCAAGCGAGAGCTAATATATAAAAACAAACAGCAGGAGGTTTTATATGGCATGCGTGGGGGGGTCGTAGGGGCCTTTGAGTGGACTGTGGGGACTTTGCGGTTCATGAGCCCCCGTGAGTGACGATTCCACACGGGAGAGGTCATGGGTAGTATCGAAATCATGTCGGACTCGATCAAACGAATGCCGCGTGCGGTCAGCCGAATTCCGGACGTAGTCTACCGTTTGAGGATGGTAGTGTTGAGTGGTATCGAGGCTGGAGGCATAATTCGTGCCATTGCTACCGTTTTGACTTCGCGGGTTATGCGTGTTGTGCGTGTGCGACGTGGGGGCGACAGATGGCGTGTAGATCTGCTGGTCATCTGAAAAGGGGTCCTGCTTCATACTAGGTTGGATTGGTTTACCCAAATCTGAAGAGGCAGCAGATTCGTCGCTGAAGCCACCGGAGGGAGCCTTACTCTGCGGGGGGACAAACGCCTCGTACTGGTCCAAGTACTTGAATTTGCCCTGGGTAATCTGCTCGCGAATGATGTCCACGTCGCGAGGGAAGAACACTTTTTGGAAGGATTTGATGGCGAACCGTGGGAGAAGGCAGATCACAACGGTGATGAGAAGGACCGTCCAGAATGACAGAGCACCATACACCTGTGTCGCAGCCCCGTAGAATTGAGCTGACGCGGAAATAGAAGAGTAGATACCAGTCCAGAGGAAGATCAGCAGGCAACTGATGACATTGATCAGCACCGTCAGCCAATCCCACCGATACTGGTTCATCATGATGTAGGCGTTGCTGGCAATGACTGCGCTGGTGCCGACGAGGACACCCATTCTCGTCCGGTCACTGATATCTCTTCCGTCGGCGTGGACGAAGTTCCCGGGCTGGTAAAGAAGATATGGCATGAAGAAGCAAATGATTGACTGGTACAAGCCATCGGCCATGTACATCCTGCAGCATGTTAGTGCCAACGCAAGAGGATATCAGCACGGGAAGACTGCTTACCAAAATTTGAACTGCGACCATTCCTTTCGCTCAATACCTCTCATATACAGCTGCGGAACGGCAAGAGAAACCTTGTCATCGACGTCCTGGTCAAAGATTCCCATCAAAATGACAGGCAATGACGTGAAGGCGACGTTGACCAAGACGATGTAAGTATAGTCGAAAAGATACGACCCATCGAAATCGTTGTAGAGCGAGTACCAGAAAAGCGCAATGGTCCAGACCAAGTTCTATCCAACGGTTAAAAAGAGATCAAGCGGGGTGGGGGGAGGGGTTTATATCAAAATAAACGTACCTTATAGAAGAAATTCGCGATACACTCACCCATGCGACGGTAAGAGTATCTTCCGTGCACGAGAATGAGTCGCTGGAGGAAGCGGAACTGTCCGATGGCATAGTCCGACGACATGGCCGCCTGGCCACCCTCCTCTCCGATGATACCAACACCGACATCGGCCTCCTGGATCATAGCAACATCGTTGGCACCATCACCGATGGAGAGTGCCATGATATTGAGACCATTCCTCACCATGCGCACGACGGCTGCTTTCTGGGCAGGACTGACACGACAGCAGAGAATGGACTTGCATTGTTTACACAGGAGAAGGAATTTCTGTTTCAACTTATCATCAAGCATAAGCTTGAGCGTCTCGCCATCAATAACAACGGCATGGGTCGGGGCGGGTGGTGAATGATCACTGCGGGCCGCAACCAGCTCCTCATCAGAGCCAGTTAACCCAAATACCTGCAGCTGCTTTTCCAGCTCTTGTGCCGCTCGTTGTGGCTCGGATTCAGGGATATTGAAGACAATCAATTCCATGTCGTTATCGAGTAGGTTGCAGGAAAATCCAATGTTGATCGCAGTTTCGACCTTGTCACCAGTAAGGACCCAGAGCTTGATACCGGCGTCTGCGAGAAGAGAAATGGTATCAGGGACACCGTCCTGGAGTCTATCCTCAATGGCAGTGCCACCGATAAGCATGAGATCCTGTTCGATTTCACTCGCCACCTGCTCCAGCTTCTCCTCACGCTCGGTGAGCGAGGCAGCGGCAATGTCGTGTTCCTTGCTCCATGCACGATACTCCTCCTCACTGAGTTGCCGATCGGCGACGCACAGCGTCCGCAGACCTTCGCGGGCGAATTCTTCCAAATGTTCCGCAGTTCGTTTTCTGAGGTCTTGCTGCTTGCCCGGGGCCAGACGCCCATAGATGATACTATCGGCACCCTTGCAAAACAGTCGGATCGAACCGTCCGGCATGCGAATGATCGCACTCATTCGCTTTCTCGTCGAGTTGAACTCCAGAGTGTTTAGAACGGTGTATGTTCGTTCTTCGCCCATGACATTCACAATGAGGTCGTCATTCGATCTGCCAAGCAAGGTGAACCCACAATCACGAGCGGTGCTAACCAAAGCTGCTTCGTCGGGGGACTGCGCTTTGAATTCGATCTGCGGAGGGTCGCCAGGTGTGTGCTCGGTGATGACAGTGTGGCATACAGCAAGAGCAAGCATAAAGTGCTCCGTGGCCTTCTTTTGGGCGACGCCCGACTGACCGTCCAAATCCGCGACGTAGTTTGATGAGATGAAGGTCAACGCGTCGTCATGTAGATAAGGGTTGTCATGAATTCCACGAAGCAATCGAATCATGCGGTCGGTATCCGAAGCGATCCGCTCCCGTGCGTTGGCAGCCACGGCATCAGCATCGCCGCCTTCTCGGCGTACCATACCGATCTGTGCTTCCGTGAAGGCTTCACCATATGAAACGCCGTTGACTGTGCACTTTTTGAAGTCCATGACGTTTTGAGTGAGGGTGCCAGTCTTGTCGGAGAAAATGTACTCAATCTGACCTACATCATCCGAGATATTCCATGACTTCGGAACGCAGGACATGTCCAGCTTCTCGTAGTACATGAAGACATCGCTATGGATGAAGACGGCCTGGATTGTACGAACAATTTCAAGAGAGATATAAAGCGAAATCGGGACCAAGTTCTGGAACAAGATGAGCGCCACCCAGAACGTGATGATACCTGTGATCGCCGGCGTGGCTCCATAAGACTCCAAATCGAAATAATTCAGCGACTTGTTGTCGGAGTCCCACGCAACACCGTTAACGATACCGGAGATGAGACACATCGCAAACAGGAGAATGAAGTTGTAGATAACGTTCCAGTTGAGATCCTTGGCGAGTCGGGCTCTCTTCGTGGGCGTCACACCCGAGTTCAGCATGATCTTGGTTTCCTCACCAGTGAAAACAACCACACCAAGGGCCCATTCGGTGTTGCGGAGAGTGCAACCACGCAGGAGAATGTTGTTGATCGTGATGGGTTCGATCATTTCCTTCCGAGGGGCTTCTGGGAAATCCGGATCGCGCTGGTCCCATCGCAGCGCACCGTTGTAGGCGTACAGATTGGGGTGGGGCGCCTCGCTATCAATCACGAATTCGGCCTTCTCGCAGTCTTTGGCGTGTCTGACTTGCCGTCCGCAGTTCAAAGCTTGTCGGACCTTGAGGTTAGTCTCGCCATCCAAGCTCTTAGTTTCCACGTAGCAGGCACCGTCCGGGTCCGAAGTAGACATCACGACGACGTCGGCCGGAATGGGATCTCCGTTATACAATCGGACAAAATCTCCAACCTGAATACTTTTCCAATAGTCGCGCTTGAACCGAGCCTTGCCGAGGGTCTGTTTCGTCTTGTCGACCACGCTACCACCTTTGCGAGGGGGCGTGGTAGGGGTAGGCGGTACAGCCATGCTGTCCCGCGCTGCCTTGTCGGGATGCAGGTATTGGGCGTCGTTCCCGCCCGGCAGGGGCCAGTCTGGTCGTGCTTCGGGGGTCGGGGATGAAACGGGAGTCATTTGGATCACGTCGTCTGCGGGTTCGCCGTCGCCCCGTTGAGAGTACATCGACGCTCGCGG